GAAACGGCTGCTCTTACGTAAAAGTTAATGGCGGATTCTAAAAGAGCGTTGAATTTCACATCAGAAATGATTAACATCGATCATTTCAGACTCACGGTCGATCAACGGAAATATGATATATCGAAACTCTTCCACCCGGGCCTAACAAATCAAGTGCTGGTTAGTTACTCATTTAAGTTTACGGTTCTGCTGGAGCAAGGAAGCGTTCAATTATCACGTAATGCATCTGAAGAGGGAGGAGAGTCGGGATTCTTCCATCCAGAAAACAGAAATTGTGCATTGAGAGTTGGGGGGGGGGGGGGGCTGAAAAGTAGAAATAGAGCATTACCTACTTTATAATTGAATGATCCCTATTTTTCACTTCGATTTGTCTCTAGTAAAGCAATAAAACACATTTTTAAATGTTCACTTTTTCACTTCGATACCTCCAGCTCCAGTACAGATGGTTGTAAGCGGGGGGGGGGGGGGACTCAGATTTTTTGAATGATTATCTTTTTAAGCGTAAGGTGTTCATGTACTACTTTGAGCTTGAATAGAGTCAATTATAAAACCGTGCTAAAGAACAAATGATCAGTATATTAATCACAAATAATATTTTCGATTTGTTTCACTTAATAATCATTGTAAAGCAGTGTATTCTAATTAATTACAATTACTTATTCGAGAGCAAGTGGTTGCCCAATAACTTTTTTGAAGGAATGTCCAGCTGTAAAACTTAGAGAAAAGTCTTAAAATAATCGTCGTCTTTTTGGCCTAAGTGCGTAATTGCTTACAACTTTTTCTCTCTTCTTTTCCATCTCTTTTTCTTGTTTATCTTCTTCTCCTTCTTCTTCCGCCTTATTGCCGCTCAATTCTAGTGTTGCCCTCGCGTCATCCATATTGACCTTTTCTTCTTCTTCTTACTCGTCTGTATTAAGCACAAGCGAGTTATCACACGAGATGCCGTTGCAATGCAAGCAAACGTTTGAACATTTCAGGCCTGTTTTTCTACAACGCATCTTAATTTAGGTTAGCTGTTCAACCAGAGACAAGAGACCCTCCACTGGCCTTCTGGCGACAGGTGGAAGCTTTTACTTTCGGGGATTCAACAATTCCTTATGGACAATTATAAGGGAGCAACAGTCATCACCCTTTTTCGGCTGTTGACCTACCTACATGGTGGATGATGAGCTTCGGGTGACGTCATGAGCCAAACAAGTTTCCCAAACTTCGGCTTGTTTGCAAAACGAAACTGCCAACACGTTGTTAAACATCAACCATGTAGGTAAGTCAACAGTAGAATGCTGAAGTCCCGAAAGTAAAAGCTTCCACCACTCGTCTGTATTAAGCACAAGCGAGTTATCACACGAGATGCCGTTGCAATGCAAGCAAACGTTTGAACATTTCAGGCCTGTTTTTCTACAACCGCACGATTTTCTGCAACCCTTAACACAGCCACAGAAAATTGCGTCCAAAACTTGTTTAGGTGCAGGCCCTTAAAGTGGTTCGTACAGGAGTAAGCTGCGGATCCAATTTCCACCCCCAATTTAAAGGCGAGAGTGCATTACCGAGCCACGTTTGAATTTGAAGGAATGCTCTAAAACCGTGCAATTTGGCGGCATCTTCTGTCGGCGGTAGAATTTCGAGACTACTTGTTTTAGCCGTGACTGCACCTTTTTTAAACCTGATGAAACGATGTTCGTTCAAACTTTCGATATTTTTATTTGCATGATAAAGTCCGATATATATTAATCGGACGCTGCCTATTAATAATATGATAATAAATATGCAGATATATAATATGCTTGGAATAAGAATGACACAGCCACAACGCGGATCGAGGGTGGAAGTCCGTGCAACTGCTAGAGATCAGTTCTCGAACTAATCGCAAATCGCAAAACATAGGAAGGAGCCCGACGAGATAAATTCGATGGGGGGCAACGAGAGGCGAAAGGGGAATTTTTATGAAACCGAAGCCCCTGAACGAGCTACATATAAGCCCCCCGAGTTCTAGATAAGAAGGGCTCGTCCAGTGTTGCTAGGTATAATGTCCCTCCACTCCTCGGGCCATGTATTTCAGCATTAATCATTTTTCTGTCATTTGGCAGCTACGATTCCTCCAAAATGCGACAATGCGAAGACAAAACAAAAAACGTGGCCTCATCTTTTCACATCGACGTCTTCGCAGGCTTGGACCATGCTTATCGTTCCTGTATGTTAAACCGTTGCGCGGCTAAGCGGAGGAAGGGTAATGGGTGCCCCCCCCCCCCCACAATCACTACTCCCTTCCCTCCGATAATGGCCTTAAAAAGGAGTAAAAGGCTAATACAAACGACCCCCGAGTGAAAAAAGTATGACTTTAGTGTCATTAGAACCCCGGCCGCAAATGTTTAACTACCTAGTACTTGATTTGTTAGGCCCGGGCGGAAGAGCTTCGATATATCGTATTTCCGTAGATCGACTGTGAGTCTAAAATGATCGATTTTAATCGTTTCTGATGTGAAATTCAACGCTCTTTCAGAATCCGCCATTAACTTTTACATGCGAGCAGCCGTTTCAAAGAAAAATGGGCATTTTCGGGAAAAAACTGAAATTTCCGTGAATGCCCGTTTTTTCGGCGGCCATTTTGAGGGGTTCAAAGTCGTTTTACAAAAAAATTCATAGAAGTCATTTTTATTGGAAATTTTATGAACTTTTATTCACTAGATAACTCTTTTTTCGCTAAAACCAATTCTTTTTGAGATATTTACGAAAAACCGAGGAAAGGTCGATTTTTTGGGGGTTTTGGGGGGTCGGGGGGTCGAGCGTACAGGGGATTCTTGGGGACTTTTTGCTGGGAGTCCCTGGCACCCCAATGAACACCTTGGGCACATAAAACCTTATATATAAATTTTTTTTTCTAATCGCCGATTTTTGATCTAATATGCCTGGACTAACTATTAAAATCGACTTTCTAAGAGTATGAGGACTTCAGAAAACATGCTGAAGTTTTGAAATTACTAAAGTCACTTTTTTAAAAAACGATGGCTCCAAGAGCAAAACTTATTTGATTCTACTCTGTTATTAAATCAGATTGAATGTTCAAACTGAGCAAAATGCATTATTAGGGACTCTTGAGGGTCGCTGAGTTCAGAAATTACAGATACTCCCAAAGAATTCACGTTTTTAAAATTACAGCTCCGTAGCGCTATTTTAGAGGCCCACTGAGCGCCAAATTATTAAATCAGATTGAATGTTCAAACTAACCGTTTGGTTCTCCAGCTTATACGCCCACTCGTTGGATGCGGAAAAAGACGAGCAATTTAAAAAACTGGTTTTGGTTCAAATACAAAATTGTGCTTTTTCAGTTTAGTGTGTTTAAAAGAAATTGTTTTTCCTCAAAAACTGAGAAAAAGCACATAAGTTAAGTTAAAAATTTAATTTAGGGATTTTGAACTTTAGAATCTTAAAGTATGCAATATTAGACGATTTTTCGTCCAAACCGGGCCTCAATATCTTGTTTCGTTCGAAAGATATCGAGGTTCACAGGTTTTGACTTCCACCCCCCCTAGCGCCCCCCTCCCAAAATTTTTTGGGGGTCTGAAAATTTGGGGAAAGAAGCGCTCCAGTATTAGGAACTGATAGACGAAGTTTGTATAAGTTTTAGTGAGGGGGCGAAAAATGTCGTTTTTGCATACGGCTCTTTCATGGTCCCGAAACTCCTCTAGCCCCCCTTGGGGGATAAACGGGGGGCCCAATTTTAAAAATCAGGGCTCCTTTCCGCATCCAAATTGAGGAGCAGAACACATTTACATCTAAAGTGACCCCCAAGAGTTCTAATTGACCCCCCTGAACGGCAGAAATTAACCCCCCGAAGAGGGGGGCTTCGCCCCCTCCAAAAGTTTCTCAAGATTCCTCTTAGGTCGCAAAATTGACGTCGATTCTCCAGATTAAGACGGTGGACCAGGTAATCGACCTCGAGGACTCCGAATTTCATGGTCCCTAAGCTCCGCTACCCGTCTTTTTGGGAAGAAACCGTCTTTTTCTGGAGAATCGACGTCAATTTTGCGACCAAAGAGGAATCTTGAGAAATATTCGGAGAGGGCGAAGCCCCCCTCTTCGTGGGGTTAATTTCTGCCGTTCAGGGGGGTCAATTAGAACTCTTGGGGGTCACTTAAGATGTAAATGTGTTCTGCTCCTCAATTTGGATGCAATCAATTTGCGATTCGGAAAGGAGCCCCGATTTTTAAAATTGGCCCCCCGTCCCCAAGGGGGATGGAGGAGCTTCGGGACCATGAAATTTGGATTTTTCGGGGTCAATTTCGTGGGAAAAAATCTTTTTCTGGAGAATCTACGTCAATATTGAGACCAAAGAGGAATTATCGAGGGGGGTACTGGCCCCCTCTTTAGGGGGTCATTTTTGGTCCTTGGATAGGCCGATTATGGATTTTTAGGGGTCAATTTCACGTGAAATTTTCCATGCTTTTCAATTCTGATGCGATTAATCCGCAATTCGGTCGGGAACCGTGACTTTTAACATCGTGACCCCCCCCCTTTACCCCCCAAGGGGGGGTGGGGGGTTTGCGGACCACGAAATTCAGATTCCTTGGCGTCAATTCCCCATTCCACCCCGCGGTCTCCGACTTCGTACGACCTAAAACAACCGAGAAAAGGCCTGGTACGGGTGGTCTGAAACACCCTGTATAGTACAGAATTTAAACATTTAGAAAGTAGGGGTCACAAAAAGGTAGTACAAAATTAAACTGACTTATTAAACCTGTTTTCCTTAATTGAAAGCGTGTTTTTTGCTGTACTCAGGGTGTTACTAACACATGAAATTGATATTTCAGAATATACCTGGAGAGAATAGCATCAAATATACACTTAGGATGAAATTTGTATTTTTTGTCTGGTTGTAGGTACATCTACGCACAGTCCAAATTCAAAGTAACATCTATAACTTTGGAAACTGAATTTTAATATCTGCTTTAGTTTGCTCAGAAGATAAACTGTTGCATCATTTTTGGGATAGCCTTTGTCCTTATACATAATATCTTATGTTACTGAATGTTTGCAAGCAGCTAGCTTTGGAGGAAGAAGATGTATGGCGTGCTGTCTTGAACTGGGCCAAATATCAAGCTGGAGTAACTCAACCTACTGCCCACTGGACAGAGGAGGAACGTGCTCGAGTTTGTCAGCATTTATCCGGAGTCATTAGCTATGTTCGTTTGTTATTGATAGGTGAGTTTTGTTTTTAAGTAATATCTTGCTGCAGCCCAACTTAATGCACCACTACACTGTTTTGATGTCTCACCATCACCATTGAAATTCTTCACCTACTATCTCATTCCCAAGTAGCATTTTTCAACGGAAAAATCGCGATTATCCTCGATTTTGTCGGCGATAAAATCGCTAGGATCATCAACATCTGAGCGATTATCCTCGATCTGTTCGCGATTTTATTGCGATTTTATCGGCCCGAAAAAATAAAATCTCAATTCATTTTTAGTTTGAAGAAGAAGTTGTCTGTGCCCCTAAAAAAGAAGTTTTTTTGCCCATTTGCTCATTCATATGGTATTCTGAATCATAATCTGAAAACGATAAAACATTTTTCGGAAGCACCCGCATCCCGGAAAACTCGCGACCTGGAACTGTTATTTTTGGTTCACGCTTCCGCAATACGTAAAAAAAATCTGAAAGTTAGGTACTAAGTTTGTGATGAACTTTCGGTAGTTTTGCCGACTTGCAGCACCCAGAAACAAAACTCTTGACTCCTAATTTCGACTTTTTCAGGATGAAGATATTGCAGGAAACTGGCTAACCGTGAACTTGGCGTTTAATTTCCTATAAAATTTCCTACAAAATTTCCAAATATAGTTCTACAATCCAAAAATCATTATCTCAGATTTACGGGAAGAAAATTCCCTTTCAATACAGGAGCACGCTAGAAGGGTAAAGGCTCCTTAAATTATGAAAAATTAATTGGACTCTTTCATTCCTTGTAATTTTTGTTCCTTCTGCATTGATAATAAATTGATTATTCATTTCCTAAGCATTTCAAAAGAAATTGGGCGGTTCTTATAATCGAAAAGACCCTATTCTCTAGAAATGAGGAACATTTAAAAAGTTTTTTCATGTTTTCATTAGGCAATTTAAGATTTATGGCAAAGAACGGAGTGTGGATGGTCAGTTGGGCACGTCAAAATGAATTCATGACCGATGAAAATAATGAAAAGGCAAAACCATTGAAATTTTCAAGTCCAGAGGGGGAAAGGGGCTGCCAACTCGCGATTGCTCCTTAGCGATTTACCCTATTTTCTTCTAAAACTTATCTCAGCGGCTAAGTGTTCCTTTCCATGTCCGTTTTGACATTCATTTTAATTACTTACTCAGAATTTTAAAGCCTCTGGATGGAGGATTTTAAGCTTCGAGGGGGAGAGGAGAAGGCCTTGGGGCCTCCTCCTCACCCCCTGCATCTTCTCGATGAGCAAAGAACAATTTCTTATCTTATATTTGAAAGTCCCTACCTATAAAACCTATTGGCATCTATTTCATACGGCGTATGAAGCTACCTATGGTCATTTTCCCACCACGAAGTCAATTTTAGCCGCCATATTGGATTTTGGGGCCCTCCCTTAGACTAGATGACCGTTTCAATGTGAAATTCGAGTTCTACGACCAAAATTACCTATAAATAGACATCCCACTCGGGGTATTAAGGAATTTCAAAATTTTTTGACCCCCGGCGGCCATTTTGGGGGGCACCCTGAGCCTCCCCGAAGGGTCTAGCACAATTTCTGACCTCATATTCGTTATTCCCGACCCAGAAAACTTATCTGCGGATATGTCATACAGTATATACAGCCATCTACGGCCATTTTCCCGCCAAGGGGCCCATTTTGGCCGCCATCTTGGAATTGGGGCCCCCCCTTAGGTCGGAGGATTTTTTGAATGTGAAATTCGGATTCTACGACTAAAATTACATATAAATCGACACCTCAGTCGACTCTGTAGGAAAGTTTATAATTTTTCAACCCCCCGGCGCCCCTTTTGGGCGCCATCTTGAATGGGGGGCGCCGGATTGATTTTTGAACTTGACACCATCGAAAATCTGATTCTACGTATCAAGACGAAGAGATTGATGTATCGAACACAATTTTTTCACAATACTGCAGACAAATCATCTTTTTTGTACATTAGCAACTCCACTAACCTAGCGATTTTATCACCGATAAAATCGCCAAAAAAAAGGGGTCTACGCTACTAGCCGATTGCCGTTAGGTTCAGCCGTCAGGTCCTTTGACGAGGACGAGCGTAAAATCCCCGGAGTCTCCGCGGGGATTCGAACCCCAGTCGCCACGGTGGCAGACCAGCACTTTTCCACTGGGCTATGGCCGCCATTTGATTCACGGGTGCGAAGTAAAGCCTCCTATACATGGATCGGCGCTTCGCATCCTTACAACTTTTGTCATTGCGTTGACTGACACCGAGTTTTCATTGGATTTTTATTTTACTTTCCCTCCTCTGTATTTTATTTCATACCTTGAAATACGGTTGGTAAAATAAGGTTCTATTGGTAATAAATCTCATCGTTCTGTCTCGGTAAAATTACCAATAATAGTGAGATGGCAAAGTTACCGATGGACCTTGGTGAAAACGCCAACATTTTTTTATCGACTATGGTAGAATTACCGAGATAAAATGGTAAAGTTACCGGAAATTGTGTACCAATAAAAGTGGTACATATTCCTACCTGAAAAAACCAGAAAAAATACCGGTTTTTAGGTAAGCTTACCAGTCTCCCTTGGTAACATTGCCCATAATTGGTAAAAAAAATATAGATGGTAAAGTTACCAACGGACCTTGGTAAAAACGCCGAGAATTTATTCTCAGTGTGGGCGTACCTCCCACCATCCAAACCCCACGCCCAACCTCGTATCAAGTCGTTCTTACACCTCCGCTAAAGAACATCTTTCATATGCGTCATTCATGCGTTATCGGGCGTTGATAAGGAATTTCAATTTTAGCTCTACAAAATCTCGTTCGATGAAATCGAAATTTTTTTGCAATTTAATGCGATGAAATCGCAATTTATCGCGATACATCGCCGTCGATAAAATCGCAATTTTATTGCAATTTAATGCGATGAAATCGCAATTTATCGCGATAAATCGCCGTCGATAAAATCGCGATTTTATTGCAATTTAATGCGATGAAATCGTAATTTATCGCGATTTTTTATCCGATAATATTGCAATAAATCGACCTCGATAAAATCGCGATACATTCTCCGATTCAATCGGAATTTATCGCGATCACTGCTATTTGGGTTGGATGACTTTAATGGGGTTGTTGCATGGGTGAGGGATTTAAGAATAAAAAATATGTAGTCATAGAACTTTTCGCGATAAAAACGATGGTAACGTCCAAAAAATTGTCCAAAACTACGCGGGAGTCTCTCCTCGCCGCCATTACCCACATCTTGACCGCGTGTTTATCTAGTGGAGGTTAGGTTAGGTTAAGTTCATCTCGAGCTCTGATTGGCTACGATGATGGGCGGACGCTGCCGGAAAAACCGGAGCAGGGCCAGCTGCTGCACACCGCCCTCCGCTCACCGCCGAACGGCTCCGTCGCTCTGTGAGGAAAACGGGAAAGGAGCGATTTTTAACTCACTTTCCGACCCAGAAATCGTCGTGAAGAGCCAAAAACCCAGTCTGTATTTGATTCATCTTATCTTCAGGTATCCATCAAGATAAAAAAAATTAGTTTAGTCGGAAAACTCGATTTTTCGTGATTTTTTCAAAAACTCATATAAGCACGCAGTTCAGATGGCAAAAACCCGTGGCCATGCGTTGTGACGTCAGAGTCACGTGATTTCGAGGCGCGGGAAGAAACCCCGTTTCAAATCGTTTCTCAACTTTCGACGCTTTTTCTCCACGTTCCAATCATCAGAAAATTTTTAAAAAAATACGTTAACAATCAGCACACCACCAACTTCTAGAAACTGAATTTACAAAAAAATGCATGCAACAACCCCATTAACCCATTGCATTAATTAACTTTTAGATCAGAGCTTCCCAGAAACCTGAAATCCAATTTTGAGGCCTCAGCCTCTCCCAAGAGCTTTAAAATCTCTGATCAAGAGACATATGGCACCTGGCACCTTGATAGACCTAGATCGTGGAAAACCAACCAAACGACCGCCAAAACTTACAGTAATTTACAAGGAATGACAGAAAAGGCCATATCCCTTTCAGAGGGAGGCAGGCGGTCGTTGACATCGTCCATTTTATGGATAATGCTTTTTCAACATTTCTGTAATTCTCGTTGCATGAATCTTGTTTTGTATAAAATTTTAAAAAGGTAACATTTATCAAAATGGACAATATGCTTAAATTCGGCCCTTGTCTAATCGTATAAGTATTCCTGCAAAGCATGAATTTTTTCTTTTTAAGTTGGGCTTTTCGGGGTTTTCTCTATTTTCTGGTAGATTTTTGCAAGGTAAAAAAAAAATTATAATCATTTTTAAATTCTGCAGCTAAAAATTTGTCAGAACTCTTTTATTTTTTTTGTCAGGGAAATGTTAAAGGATTAGGTTTCTGAAAATTGCCTGACACGCCGGTTTTCCTTGATAACTGAGGAGTAGAGTTGTCCCCGCACTTACTTTTCTCTGCCGAAGTGTACAATAACTTCTGTCTTCTTCAACGTTGGCTCTGCAAAAAATCGATATTTTAAAGAAATGGGTTTTTTGTGTTGAAAAAAGAAATATGATACCAATGTTGAGCTAACTGGTGTTTCTTTCATTTGTTGTAGACTCGCAAGTTTTTGCTGAAGAAGTGGAGCCGACGGGTGCTGTGCCAATAGAGTTATCTTTGGAAAGATATCGCTATGCAGCCTTGCCAAATAAATTTCGTGAAAGGAGCGAAGATAAAAAATTACAGCTTCGCGTAGCACTTAAATTCTTCCCAGGTTCACTGATTTTAGTAAAAGTAAGAAATTTTTAAGTGCGCATGGCCACTGAAGTGGATATGACTTTGACGTACTATTAGTTATACCATTAGGCTGTGACTAGCCCAAATCGCTACATATCATGCTTGCGAATATTCGAGGGACCACCAACCGGTTGTCAGCCACATGGATTGATCTGTTCGTTTCCATTCTGCATGCTCCGTTGCTTTTGCATCAATAGTCGTTTGTTTCTTGATTTATGTTTGAAACTTTGTCAATTTTATGCAGTAGGGTAAGCTTTATGTAGGTCTTTAGAACGATTCCTTTGAATTTGGAAGTGCTCCGTAAATCGATTTTCCTTCATATTTAACATATTCTTTCTGAGCGCTTTTTTTCAATAATTTGTTTTCAGGCTCAATAAATTGCTCATGGCTCTTTCGAAAAAAAAACTGAAAAAATTCTTGTGTTGGGGTCGTTTTTAAAAAAAAAAAACCTCTGTTTTAATGCAGGGGCGATCCTTTTCTCGTATGCCGCGATCACACGCTGAATTTGGGAGCTGAATGTGGAAGTCATCGGCCCGATGCCTGAATTTTGCGCGTCACGCGCAAAATTCAGCAACGATTCTCAGCAACCATCGGACCAATTTTGAATTTGTTTGAACTATTCGAGTAGATTTGATACACATCTGAATGAAAAGAAAGCGTCCAGCCCACCTACAAACTAGGGGCCTCAAAGAGGCTCATCGATGGAACTGTTGACTGTTGCCTTTCTAAAGCCCTGGATAGACGATCAAATTCCGAACCAATTCCGATCAAAGTAAACATGCTGATGACTGGTGGTCACCATCTACCATCAAATTTTGACGGGCCGCACTTTTTTGTTCAAAGTAAGATCAGAACGGAGTGCCACCATTCATCATTTCCTGTCACAGGAAACATTTCTGCCAAGTTTTCATTTTAAAATGAAGCAAATTAATGAGTTTAAGACTGATGACTCCCGACACTTTGATGCTATTTTGATCGGAATTGGTTCGGGAATTTGATCATCTATCCAGGGTTAAAGATCGTCGGGCCGACGATCTTTGAGGGTAACCGATGTGTTCGGGATACATCACAGATCAGATCTTGAAATTTTCAAGGCATTCCGTGCAGAAATGGCTGAGAAATAGAAGAATTAGTGCCAGTTTGAGAGCCCCAGTTTGTACGTGGGCTGGACGCTTATATCGAATTTGCTAAATTTCAGCCGTTGGGCGATGACTGTTGACTTCCACATTCAGCTGCTAAATTCAGCGTGCGATTGCGGCATTAGATTCTTTTCTCTTGAGAGGAGGAAGGTGTAGAAAGGCTGAAAGGAGGCCTTAGGGCACTTCATCTACTTCAACTGATTTGTTGCACATCTTACATAGTTACCCATTTACATGATTAGATTTCAAGGAATTCAAAGAATTCTGGAATACTGAGGGTTTAAGTTATTATTTTTCCATTCTTTTGAGAGAGGCCGTAACTAGTTAGTTTTGTGACGTCAAGCTAGTAGATATTTACCGAAAACAACAAGCATCTCCGGGTCATCGGTGCGTCGATGAGTGAGGCAGTCGCTGCGTGGACCAGTCAGAGTGGCCCTCGATCGGCCGAAGTTGCGCGAGATCCGCCGAAGTTGCGCGAGCGGCCCGTTTGAATTTGAATGGAGTAACGATTTTCGGTTTTACGCTTTCATTTCCTCGATTTTTAGACAATGTCACAAATGGGTTAGGTAGTTTTCTAAAGTGAAATTTCATCTTCTTTCGAAAAGGTTCTTATAAAATTTTGCGTCAGATCAACCCTGAAAAAGATATCGGTGAGAGATCATCGCGCGGCGAGCGTTTCTTCCAAAAGAACGCGTGTTAAACCGCGGCCGAGTTTCATCTACTAGTGTGACGTCACAGAAACGTAGTTACGGCCTCCCCATTCTACGCTCCATTCAACGTTCAAACCTGAGTTATGAGAGACTTACAATTAGATTTTGTCTGTCGCATAAACATGACTCAGCTGTTAGAAAATATTATAAATATGTCTCTCTCATGCAGGGAAGGAGGCAGAACATAACTAGAGTACCTTTATAGCGAGAGTATGGACAGATCGCTTGATGGAGGGCTTAGGGCCCAAAAGTGCAGCCACCCTTCTGAGCAACTTCTAACACACAAAATTTCACTGCCAGCCTACAGAGTTCAATTCTAACCAAGATGGCCAAGAATGTACATAAATGAGTGTTCTTTTGCAAAAATAAGTAAATTTATGCTAAAAGTAAGCCAAATACATGCTCTATAAACGGCGGTTCGTAACAATTGTATTTAAAAATCGCTCTGGACATTCGAAATTCATAGGTTGGCTGCATTTCTGGGCCCTAACTTCATTCACGGAGGCATCGGTGAAGGCCTGATGGATTATCGGAGTTTCACATCTGTCCATACTCTCGCTGTACAGGTACTCTAAACATAACCACTCTCTGTGTCTCTGGTTTCACATGATGCTCGAGAAGCTTTGCCCTCCAGGTAGTTTAGTTGCCCTATCAAACTAACCCTTCCTGGGATAAACTGAAGTCCATCTGGCCCTGCTCAAGAAAAGTTCAGGGTGCTGAAAATTCCAAACCGGCGACTGCCTCTTGCAATCCAGTACAAGCTTTATGGTCAAACTTTAACTTGCCCCCCGAATCAAATTTACTTTATTAACAGAAATAGGTATTACATTTTAAATTCAGGTTTTGGCATGTGAAGAGGTTATATTGTACTTATTCTCAAAATTAGCCAAGTACCTAGTTATTCATTTTATGTTCATAGGGAAAGACATGCTATCAAAGACTCCTGAATCAGTGGTATAGATCTCCTAAACAAGTTTGGCGTTTGGTGTACAGAGCCTCTACTCACGGATATTCAGCTGAGGCATTCCACAGGCATTGTGACGGGATCGCTCCCACTTATGTTATTGTATCCGTGAGTAACTTTTGAATAGGTACTAGAGTCCCTTTATAATCAGAGTTACGACAACTCACTTTTGGTTGGGCTGAAAGTGGCCTAAAAAAAATCCAATTCTGATTGATTCTCGCTCATGGAGTCACAAACGAGTGCACCAAGATGGCAATGACTCCAATGTGAACAAAAATAATGACATGGAGTCACAAACGAGTGCACCAAGATGGCGGTGACTCGAATGTGAACAAAAATAATGAAAATATTACCTTATTGTAGTTCATCAAGAGTAAATTGTAATTTCCATCGGTCTAAAATGAAAATAGATTAAGAAATTATTCACAAACCAATCTCATTTTCGTTATAGTTGATCAATTTTGTTGATGTTGTTGTTTTGGGATGACAGACATCGCAGGCTTCCTTATCCCTCAATATCGTTCGTTTGGGTGCACTCGTTTGTGCCTCCATGGCCAGCCAAGGCCAGCTGCCAGTCAGCTGATAATGGAGTTGTCTTAACTCTGGGTATAAAGGGACTCTATTGAATACAGATGAACCAAAGACATTGAATCACGTAGACCGTGCATCCTGTGTTACGGAAGGCGAGGCAACTTTCAAAATTCGCATGCGATGAGTGGTGGCAACCAACCCGCATCGATGAGTTCGTGTGTCCCAGTTGCGCACATCTGCGCATGCGCAGTAGCGGCTCCTGGCGGCTCCAGTGAATTTTTGTCGGATTGTGAGGCTTTTTTCCTCGGTTAATAATTAGTTCGGAAAAATGAGACAATGCTAATCGGGTGTAAAATTATGTGTTCTATAACTTTTCTTCTTAGGAATTTTGTTTGAAAATGGACTCTAAACGAGATATTCATGAAAAACCAAGCGCGGGCATGAATTCTCCATTGCCTCTTCGAGTGCTCGGGACACACGCTCTCTCCCCTTCCCCGCCCGCCCATCATGGGGCTCCGGCTCCGAGAGACTTGCCTCGCTCCGCCAGTACTAAACCGAGCCGAACGCACGGTCTACGTGATTCAATATCTTTGAGATGAACACATGATGATTATTATCTAAGTATGCTGGGAGGAGCTATTTGAAAAAGATGTATCCTTCACGCTAAAAGCTCTCAAAGAAAAAATGTTAAGTATGGTGGGTGTAATAGGCATCGCAGGGTTGCCACAGGCAGGTAAAATCGGGAAATGTCAGGGAAAATGATGAAAATGACGATAATATCAGGGAAAAATCGTAAGATAGGCATTCTCTGCCTCAAAGATTGAGTCCGAAATTTCGAACAACTAATGTTACGTATTCAGGTTTGGAAGGGGCGATTCTGCTGACAAAACGCGTCGCTCTGCTCCCCTTACTCCTTCCCTTCCCTTCAGTGGCGGATCCAAGGAGGGAGGGCCATGGTGGCATGACCCCCCCCCCCCCGCCCCCTCGGGCCAAAAAAAAGAGAAAGAAAAATGGGTAAGGGGAGGGGGAAGCGCTCCTTGACATTTACTGAAATATTTTAGAGACAGAACTATATAACTTAAGTTTACCAAACCAAAGGTTGCTCAACACCGCAGCAGGTAGTATATCGACGGTGTATGTCGGCAATCACATAACTCGTTTGCGGTGTCTGAAAATCTCCGCTTCTATGTTATTTTTTTAAAGGAGAACAAATTGATATCATTCCTTGAAGTTTTTGCAGAATTTTCTTCGCACAGAGAAGAAAAATCACGGCAATTTTAAAGAATTGCCGTTGAGTAGTTTTCCGTTAAAAAAATAAAGTATGACAGGAAGTCAGCGACGTCGCAAACCGAGTTATGTGATTGCCGACTTACACCGTCAATATAACTAGTTCATGTAAAAAAAAAAAAAAAAAAAAAAAAAAAAAAAAAAAAAATAAAATTACGCTGAAAGAGGTATTAGATTTCTGGCCAATTTTTAACTTTCAAATAATGCACAAATTTTATGCTAAAACTGCTTAAAAATCAATCAGGGAGGGCCTGTTTTCTTAAAAATTTTGCTGGGAGAGGCCCCCCACTCTGCACCAGCAAATGGCTGCAACCCCCCCCCCTCACTCTGAATCCGCCACTGCTTCCCTTCAGTCGCCCCCTTCATACCGCCTCCTCCTACGCGTATGTACCGATTTAACCCTTGACTCATAGCAATAATGAAAGGAGACCACCTCTCTCTACCTAGCTTCAATAACTCATGCATTTTTATTCAGTATTATTGTCTTACAACTAATCGATGTCTTTGAGTCATTTTCGTATTGACTTTCCGAAGGATGAAACTGTGTTAAACAATACTAAAATTTGAACTAAGGAAGTGGGTTGGTTCATTTTTGCTGTAATTTATGTGTTTGTGACTTTGTCTCTACGAGGTTTTATATTAGCAGCAAGGCATTGTTTCTGTGCAAAATACAGAGCTTTTCTGGTTTTCAATATGTTTTGAAAGTGAAAAATGATTAGCTCTAACTTCTTTTCTTTTCATTCATTTTGTACAAAAGACTCAGTTATACCTACTATTCTGCCGTCCAACGTAAAAACGCCGTAAGTAAATCCAAAATTTGAAAAAATTGAGTCGGATATGGAAATAGGGCATATCGACGGTGAAAGTCGGCAATCACATAACTCGTTTGCGGTGTCTGAAAATCTCCGCCTCTGCGTCATTTTTTTAAAGGAGAACAAATTGATATTATTTCTTGAAGTTTTTGCAGAATTTTCTTCGCATATTGAGAAGAAAAATCATGACGGTTTTAAAGAATTGCCGTTGAGTAGTTTTCCATTTAAAAAATAAAGTATGAAGGAAGTCTGCAACGTCGCAAACCGAGTTATGTGATTGCCGACTTTCACCGTCGATATGGAGTATGGGAAATTTAATGGTGAAATCAGAATTCTGATATCACCGTTAGTTTCCGAGATATGGAGCCCGCGCTTGCCGTGCATCCACCGAACTTGGTACCTCGACGAAGCAAGAACGCCGCAACCGCCAGGTACAGTACACAGTAAGAACGCGGCGCATCCAGCGGAGCTGCATGGATGAGCCGCGTTTTTACTGTGCAGGTGGCACTTACGTGCGGGAGCGTTCGGTGTTTTTCGCCTGTTGCGACGAAGCTGCGCTCGCCGTTTCTCCACCCGTCCTGTCCATCGATCAGTGTTTTCTGAAAACGTGTGTGTTCGCGTCAACGTGTTACCTTTCTTTGGCGTGATCGACACATGCGAACACACACTTTATTTTTCTACTTATTTTTCTTCTGTTCTTCTGCCGTAACAGGCAGTAATCTCAAATAAAGTTGGTTTTTCTTCTGCTCATGGTGGTCCTGCCGGTTCAAACACGCCGTTACAGTCCTAGATGACAGTTACTCCCAAATGAAATTAATTGGTCGACGACGGACCAAAACTAACCCAATAAAGTTAAAAAAATATGAGTTGGGGAAAAATCAACCTAAGTAGAATACCTACTACTGCAATTTTATTTAGTTCCCGCCCTACATTTGAATTTCAAACCTGTCCCGATTTCGCCGCCAATCCTCTAGCCAATAGTAGAGGTGGTTGAAAAGAAGCTTCATTTTTTGCTTTCAGCGCTCCGTCTTTATGTCTTTGGGCAACTAAGAGGAAAAGTAAGGGTTGGGGTATGAATTGAATGCAAGAAGCAGGTTAATCACGTGCTTGATGCTCCTGGATTTTAAGAATCGCACAAAGACAACTGAAGCTAGATCGAGGGTCGGGTTTCTCCGAAGAGGTAGCGCCCACTGCATGGCAGATGCACCGAAAATCCGAGCGATGGCCGAGCGGCACTTTGCCATAGATCATATTCGATACATCAAACGGGTGAGATTGTATCGATATCGGTTGGTTCAAAACATAAACATAGCCAAGCATTAATCATTTTCAGCTTTTCCAACTTAAATCCTTACTGCAGTTTGGTTAGAGTACCTGTATAGCGAGAGTATAGACGGATATGAAACTCCGAAAATCCATCAGGTCTTCACCGATGTCTCCACGAATAAAGTTTGGGCCCAGGAATGCATGAGCCAACCTATGAATCTCAATTATCCAGAGCGCTTTACTAATACAATTGTTACGAACCATCGTTTTTAAAGCACGTATTTGACTTAGTTTTTGCATTTTACTCGTTTTTGCGGAAGAACGCTAATTTATGTACATTCTTAGCCATCTTGGTTAGAATTGGAATCTGCAGACTGGCAATGAAATTTTGTGCGTTAGAAGTTGGTTAGAAGGGTGGCTGCACTTTTGGGCCCTAAGCCCTCCATGAAGCGATCTGCCCATACTCTCGCTATATAGGTACTCTAAGTTTGGTTTGAGGTTATGTTCTATTGTTTTGAACCAAACGATACATCGAACCGTTATCGAATACGGTCTATTGTATGAACCACTGCGACCGGCCTGGCCCTACCCAGATTAGAGTCCCTTTATACCCAGAGTTACGACAACTCACTTTAGGTTGGGCCAGGATTGGGCTGAAAGTGGCCTAAAAAAAAATCCAATTCTGATTGGTCCTCGCTCATGGAGGCCGAAACTAGTGCACCAAGATGGCGGTACCTCGAATGTGAACAAGAATAATGAAAATATTACCTAATTGTGGTTTATCAAGAGTAAATTGTTATTTCCATCGGTCCAAAATGAAAATAGATTAAGAAATTACTCACAAACCAATCTAATTTTCGTTTTAATTGATCAATTTGTTGATGTTGTTGTTTTTGTGTGACAGACATCGCAGGATTCCTGATCCTTATCCCTCAATATCGTTCGTTTGAGTGCACTAGTTTCGGCCTCCATGGCCAGCCAAGGTCGGCTGCCAGTCAGCTGATAATCGAGTTGGCGTTACTCTGGGTATAAAGGGACTCTAACCCAGATAACAATTTCAACGTTGACAACAACGTAGAATTCCACGTTTCTCGTGAAACCTTCCACGTGGAAAGCAACGTGTACCGGGACGTGTACCTAATTCTACGTGGATGTCCATGTATTAAGTACCGTTTCCGGAACGTTCCCGTGTAAACGTTGTCAGCGACAACC